TTCAAGTGTAACTTACTTGTCAAACTCTTTGTCATACAAAGTTGATCTTCTCAATCTAATCTAAACAATTCTCTCTTGTCCCTAATGTATACAACCAATGATCTAAATTGTTATGGTCTCTCAAGAGTCACTTAATTTCTTGCGTATTGGCCCTTTATTAAGTTCCTATACCTTGTGGAGTATTTATATAAGTCAAATCACGAAGTTATGGATGAGGTAGGAGTCCAAAATCAAGTGAAATTCCTCCGCAGTGCTACTGCCCAGCGCCTAGGCGCTAGGGACAGCGCCTCGGCGCTACCATCCTAGTGTTTCCAAAATACCTCTTTCATCCATCCAAGAAGTCCTTAACTCAATCAAACTCCCAAAACATGATGATATTTGATTCCTAATCAAACCGAACTTCTAAACCAAAATTAATCAAGCTTCCTGCATGCAACAAACTCCTAAATCACATAGAATTTTTGTCACAAATCCTAATAGTAGTCCTAATAGCGGAGGCAATCCAATTACTGCGGAGGGGTGATCTTGGTGGTGAGTTTGGAATGGTCATCACGTTAGGATTTGCAAAATTGAAGAGGGAAGTAGAATTTTGTATTTAAAATGGTAAATAAATATATTTTTTATATAAAAGTTTATATAAGGTATATTTGCCTCTGTTTGGATTCCACCAAAATAAATTTTGGGAAAAAAATTGTTTTAAAATAGTAACTTTCCGGAGAATGCATGGTTTGAAAATAAGGAAAAATTTTGAGTTTATTATATGTAATATTATTACATGAAAAAAAAATTCGTAATTGAAAATGAGCTTTAAAAAAATGTATTTTGAAAAAGTGGAACTCAAACAAAGACTTTAACTTTTTGAGAGGAAAGAGATATGTATAGCGTTCAACCACGAAAATAAATTTAAATTTGAATCAAAATCAATAATTAACTTTATAATTACATCATTTCCTCCATTATCAACCTCCACAAGAACTTTCTCCTATTTTGTTGGAGATAAGAATATTTTAGAAGATTTCTTTGATACTTTCTCTTGTTGGCTTTATTCTCATCTTTCGACCCTCTAGAGAAAATGCAGCCCATACTATTTAAGAGTTTCATTCCCGTGTTTATTAATATGAAATTTTATACTCCTAACATATGTTTGTTGACAACGTTGATTGATAACATCTTATTTGACATCATCATATTCATCAATTTTAAAAAAACTCCATACCATTTACAATCATGTTATAACTACAGACAATTTTGACGGGAAATGCTTACAGACAACACTTGACATGCATTCATTGAAAGAAGGGGAAAAAAAGTTGAATCACATTTCGCCACGTTAGCTTTGGTAACAAATCTATCAAAAATGTCTTGTACTTGGGGTTTTTTCCTACCATTTATGAGATTCATTCTCTTGTGTTTATTAATCTGAAATTTTATACTCCTAAATAAAAACCTAATTTGGTTTTCCCAAATACTCAAAGCATTTTGCTGTGATCTTACTAGTATTCTTGGCACCCAAGAACCCTCCAATAAATCAAAAGATCCTTAAATTAGTAGCAATCCGATTCTATAACCCAATGTAGCATCCAAATCGTAACCCCCATGATACATGATGTCATTAATAATTATGCAAAATGGCTAAGTCACATGATATGCACTCCACGTAGAGCACCACCATGAGGCCGTCGACCCCCATGTGGTCGTCTACCACTCCCATGAGGTGGTCTACCGCCTGAGGCTGCCTACCCTCATTAGGCTTTCTACCACCCCCCATGTGTACGCGGGTGATAATCTTGCAACCGCGTACGCGGGTGACAAACACTCCACGGAGAGCACCACCATGAGGCTGTTGACCCCCACGTGGTCGTCTATCACCCCCATGAGGTGGTCTACCTCCTAAGGCTGCCTACCCCCATGAGGCTTTCTACCACCCCCCCATGTGTACGTGGGCGACAATCTTGCAACCGCGTACGCGGGTGACAAACACTCCACGTAGAGCACCACCATGAGGCCGTCGACCCCCATGGGGCTTGCAACCACGTACGCGGGTGACAAAGACAATCTTACAACGGCGTACCACATGAGGTCGTCGACCCCCATGATGCCGCCTACCCCCATGGGGCCCTCTACGTTCACATAGACCGCCTACCACTGTGAGGTCAATACTATGCTTAACCATACAAATGGCAATGCGTAGGACGGAAACCACCCAACAGCGAACATGGGCACAACCAACCGCTTGACGAGTGAGGGTCACCACGTTAGAATATGGAGGAAGTGGGAAGGTCTACGTGGGACACGTGGCACCATTAACTACCAAACACGTGCATAGCATCAGGTGCCTATAAATACTTCCAAAATGAGAAAGGTATGACTTTTGGAAAATTAGAACTATTTAAAAATTCCAATACATTCTCTTTCTATTCTCTAAAGACCGTACACTAATTCTCACTCCGGAGGTACAACGGGGGAGAGAGCCCCGACCTCATTTTGCAGGTAGCAAGCACTGATTGGCTCAGTTGGAACACCATCCACGTCAGGGAGGATACGGAATTTACCTCACTACTATTTCACCCCACAAAATCAAACTCTTGATATCCGAAGTATACAAACTACAACAACAAAATATTGGAATTCATATTCGTCAATCAAACTTTAAAGACAGACGAATAATTAAGTAATAAAGGAGACTCACTTAAACAACTAACATGGGCACTCGATAAATTGCTTACAATTTTGAAAATTATGATAAATATAATTATAAGTAGATCTTTCCTAAGCCCCCGTTTGGCCCCCATTATGTATCATTATAATTTTTGGAGTAGTATTTATTATTATTATTTTATTTTATTTTTTTGAAAAATTTGTGGTTGAAAAGAGGGAAAATTTTTCGATTTACATGTAATATTATTTTATGAAAGATTGTATAGTTAAAATTGAAAATAAGATAGAGAATAGTGATTTTTTTGAAATAATAGTTCCAAACGGGGGCTAAATTGATAAATCAAATACAATTCTTCCACGAAATCAACGAAGTCAAAACTAAAATCGCTCCCATAACCATAGACTTCAAATTTGATCTGTTTACTTAAGGAACCACACATATGAAAACACATTCATGTGACAAAGAACCAAAAATGAAATCCACCACAGATCGGAGACGAAAATAAAATTATTTTCAGTCGTGGAAGATCACAAAAGACGTAGACGAAAAAGCTATGGCACGGTTGTTTAGAGAAAAGAAAGAAAAAATTAGGTTTATGATTGTGAGGTAACAATAAATTATTTTATTTGATAAATATACTGAAACCCCATTTATGCAAAGTTTACTTAAGGCTATTTAAATAAATAAAAAAATACTTAAAATTGTCGTGTAACTAAAAAGATTCGTAGTGGCAAAATAATTACTCTTAATTTTTACCCGCACATTTAATGGGATCCACTACTTTTTAAAGCACATTCCATCCGTTTTTACCATAATCTATAAAAAAAATCTGATTTTTATCTAAACCAGACGGGAACAACGTAATTTATACAATTATTTTCTTAAAAAAACGCTCTGTCTGTTCACTTGACACCTCAATGAGGCTTCAACTAATATCAGCATAAAATCATGTATTGGCAACAATCCATCTCATATTACAATGTGAAGTTCATGATCTTAGCTTTTAATTATTTTATTTAAAAGTTTAAACTGAAAAAAGATAAAGTACAAGTATATTTTATCTTTGGCATGTTGAGTTTTGTTACGGGCCTGTGTCAGACCCGTCACCTCGCCCGCCACGTGTCCACACCCGTGGCCCAAGCCACGTACCGGACGAGATGATTAACCCAAAGGACGAACTGATTGTACATGCCGAGGTGATTGCACTAGG